GGAAAGAGGGTATGACCTCTGCCTGTCTGAAGAGATGAATTTTTCTTCAGAATCTTCAAGTTCACAGGGATGGAAGAATTTCACACTGGAAAAAGCTCGCCAAAACATATTTATATTGAAGGATTTTGCACAATTTTTTATATTTGCATAATTTGTATAGTTTTGCATTTTTAACTTATCAAGTCTTACAACGGTGATAGCGCTTATTCCACTAGTGCCTTAAGAACTCTGGCGGTGTCTTCAATGTGGTCACACTGGCTGGGGTGTGGTATGAACAAACTTGACATCCTGTTAAGCAACCAACCTCAGGTACCAGTAGCAGCATAAAGGAAAAAGCAAGCTACCAGTCAATTATTTGCTTTTTTTTTCAGGTAAATTATACATTCTACATTGAGTTCCCTGATGCATGCCTAGTTCCAAACTTACTCTCAACACTCAAATTTGTTAGCTTCAAGAGATCTCAGATGTGCCTACATTACAGTAACAGCAACGATTGTTCTACTTTGAGAAGTTTTTGAAAACTGTTCCTTGCTTTTACAGTGGAACTGCAGTCACAAAGCATATTAGAAATGTGAAACACAATATTCCCGATTTCACTACTTTAATTCATTGAAAAGAGAAGAATGAGTTACACACAAATGTTGTATTTTAGTTGAAGACATCACCTCTTCCCCCCTGCTTATCTTAACAGATAACAGGTGCTGAAATATCTTAAAAATATCTTTAAAAATATCATGCACCTTGGGGTTGAGTCAGTGATCCTCTGTAGTATTTGATTTCCTTTGCTAACTACAGAGAGAAAGTTTAATGACTAGCTTACACGTAGAAAGCGATATTTAAATGTATAAAATTAGGTGACATGAATCCCACCTCAAATGCCTCAAGTAGATTTTAACTTATTTAAATGGAGCACCAGCTCTTTGAGCAGGAACAAAGAGAAAATGAATGTTAGGAATGGAACAATCTTCTCTCAGTGCTGTTTACCTTGAGAAACATTTCTAGGACATAGCATAGTATCTTGTTGTAAAGAAAAGCTAGGATAAAGTTTTGTCTTTACACTAAGTGCACTAAGGTGCAGATATGTCTTCATTTACCTTCGAGGCATTTTTCAAACTTATTTTGTCACACATTGATTAACAAAGGAATTTCAGTATACACTTTTAAAAAGAACCTAACACTTTCCTGTAACTTGTAAAATGTCAGGTAGGAAACTAAATGTAACTGAATTTTGTAAATTAATTTCTTGAAACACATAAAGCCCGATCACAAAGATGGAATTCCAGACATCCACCAATGAAAGCTTACAGTTACAATGCAAACCTCTAAATCACTAATAAAACACAGAAAACTAGAACATTGGCAAAGGAAAACGGATATTTTTAGGACATTTTTTTCTATCACGTATCTTGTCATGAAAAATCAGATAATCTGGATTCTGATACAAATACTCTACAAATATATTAAAGAACTCTAATGTCACAACCCATGGGGTGAAAAAATAAAATTACTGCTAAAAGACTTTACTGCAAACACTAAAATGAAAAGGTTGACTACTAAGATGTGGCAATGTCCTGGTCATAGTTACTGATGCGGTGTGATTCACATCCATGGAAAACCTAGCTCATTTCCTTTGTCATAGTGGGTATGTGAAAGCTGTAACCATGGTGTAATGTATTTTTAGGGAAAGTCAGTGAGTTTAGAAACAACTTTCTTAATTATTACTACATAAAAACCTCTCAAGTTCACAATTTAGAAATAGACTGGTTTAAAACTTCATAAAAATTATGACTGCCTATCAGGTAGACCATCAGGGATGTATAGGCCCCATATATTTTCACAACAGGAATTCAGCAAGAGCTGCAGGATTTAAACCAACTTTAGAGGTATATGCAGCTTTTGTATATTTAGCCCTTGAGGAGTTAGGAAAAAGTGATCTGAATTATAGAAAAAGAAAAATGTAAATTCAGTTTCTTCAAGTCTTTAGGTCTTGAATTTAAACAAGAGAGTAAGTATCTGTTTTAAACTAAATACCTGATTTGCTACATTGGGATATTTCACTCTATTGCTCCTTTGCCTTTTGATCTTACTACTAGGAAGCACTGACAAATCTGGTCTTATTCCAGGGCACCTGATAACTTACTTTTTGTGAAGGAATTCCCCAGCTGCTACTGCAACAGGCCGGTGTGCTGAATACACCAAGTGATAAACATTCTCACAGTCTTCATTTGACAGAGCTTCTTCGCTTCCACTGAAAGAGTCAGAAAATAACACCTGAAGTAAACCAACTGTTTAATTTCAATCCCCTCACCTCCCATAACTTACTTTTGACAGCTACAAGATTGATTTCCTTCATACAAAATCCTAAATGGTTGAACATTGACTTCAAGGATCTTTGGTTCAATTTCTAAGTACAGAGACACTTAAAGGGCCTGTAAGACTGAAAGTTTGTCTGATTTCCTTCTACTAGTTGTATCAAACAAAAAAAAAATGAATATAATTTTAAAAACATTATCACTGCTTGCAAATCTTGCCCTGCTTAATTATTTAGACCATGATGCTAACTACAAGGCATATATTGCAAGATGCCAAATGCTCTTTACTAAACATTATTCAACTGAAAACCTAGAATGTTACATGAGGAAAATGTAATTGCTTGCTTAAGCTTATTTACTTCTATAGCGATGTCTGTTTGCTTTCAAGGTTTTTAATTTTTAACATATTCAAATCTGGGACTGGGAAAACCTGCTTCAGCCTCCTGGCCTACTCCATCGTCAGGAGTTAAGTCTCTTCATGTGACAGTCCATGTGCTCTTGTGTGCTGCAGGGCAGGAGGTGCCTCTCTGCTGGTCTGGTAAATAGGAAGGAATATTCCCAATTCCAGCTGCTAAAGGGGCCAGCCCAGGTGGATAAAACTGCCTCAGCAATGGGAGAAGGCACAGAAATGCTCTGGGTATGGGCAGTAGAAAACTAAATCAGATAATGCCACAAAGTGAGGATACAGAACTAGCACTGGGCATCCACCCATGAAATCAACACGTGACCACTTTAGGACTGAATCATGGTGTGCATTTAGAATTACAATAATGCTGATACAATAAATTGCCCATCACTTTAACAGTAGTTATTGTAATGACTAGATATAGACTTCATTTTCAACATCATGGAAAGATGAAGAGAAATTTATTTTCTATTTATTGACAAGAACAAGCCACCTTTTACCCTTGTCTTGGGTAAACAACATAGTTGGGGCTTCTGCAGTTTCTGAGCTCAAGGTAGATTTTGTGCGTGAGTTTTCTGAAACTCAGATAAACTTCCATTTTTCATCAGTATTCTTGAAAAAATGCTATGAGCCATGGAACAATCATATTCCATCAGTGATATCAAAATATTACCACTGTTGCATACAGGAACATTACTTCCCTCCTTGTTTAGTCAGCATTCATCAGGAACATTTATGTATCAGGACTCTATACATCATTTGGCTTCATATTACAAATAATTTTTAATTGATAATGCCCATCACTATGTTCGTGAGATCTTTTTGGAGTTCCTACCTGCCAGAATATTGTCCTGTGCTGTTCAACGTGACCCATATTTTTCTGGTGCTAAATGCATTTTGCTATGTTTTCATCAGGCAACCAAAGAGAAAACAGGACAGGAAAAAAAAAAAGGTGCACTGGATAATTTTTGACCTAAAATTTTGCTGTGTTCCCAAATGCTGGTAATAATGTAGGGAATAGATGTGTTCTACATCTCATTTCTGATCATATTTCTTATATTTGCTTAAAAAATATAACACTAGTTACAAGATTTCCTTTCTTCCTAGTATTACAAGTTTAGTATCTGTGAAGCAGAGTGACCATAAATAAAAAAATTAGGTCCAGACTTCTTCACCTTAGTAAAAATGAAAAGCTAGTCTAATCTTTCATCCAAATTCTGCATGTTCAAAAACGTTCTTGAAAGTGGAGCCACTGGGTCTAAAGTATGATGCAGAAATTCTATGCATCTGTTTGTAAAACAGATTTTTTTAACATAGGTTTTAATAAATATATAATAAAAGCTTAAGCACACTTATTAGGCTGCTGTGGACAGGCTGGTTTGAACAGTCAGCATGTGGGATGATCTTTGGACTGGATCTTTGCCCCAGGGAAGCCACTGCACCTCTGTAACAAAAGGCTGGGCCCTGGAAGCATGTGTCCTCCTGCACGGCCAAGTGTTTAAAATTACAAGCTACCACTGCCACCTCCACATAACCCAAACAAGGATGCTGAAGCTAGCATCTTTTCCCCCGTCAGCTTATTTACTCAACTTATTTTACAAGAGATGACTCTCTTTGTCAGCTGTGTCAGATAATCAAATCTCCTAACACTGCGTCTTTGCTTAGTTAGTGCTAGAGTTATTTTAGCAAACGTATCCCAAAGATACTTGTTTTGGGGAGGACAGTCGTTTTGCCCTTGGCAAAAGGTATAACCTCCCTTTGGCATTCTTCCACAACAATGGATGCACTAATAGTCTCAATACATCAATACATTTTTATACTTTGCCTATAGTATTTCCATCAGATGGAATATCTTATTTTAGCTTCACGACCATATTATTACATATTCAGTTCAACTTCATATTAGGTGTAAAGTAACAGATTCTCTCCATTACACAAGCAAAGAAATCAAGTCAATTAAATATTACTGGCTTAGGTAACTTCCAAAGGAAATATATTGGCTTTAAGAAATACTCACTGAAGTATTAGCGTGACTAATCGAATGGCTTCCACCGCGACATCATATTCCTTATCAAGTGTCATTGATACAATGCGATCCTGAAAAGGAATTTTATTGCAGTGACAAAACAGAAACACACAAACAGCTTTCAGATGAAAAATTCTACAGATTACAAAATAAATACTTCTGGGGAGAAAGATCTTCGAACTAGACACATAAAAAGCCTTTAATATTATTCAACCATTTAATGCACATCTTAGGAAGCTGTGTGCTATATGCACAATGGGACAACAGGCAAGTACACAGGAATGAGAACAAGTGCTTAACGAACAGTCCTTATCCTTGTTTGTTCTCCAGGAAACAAGCAAGCAGAGTTTGTAGTTGAAGCACTGTTCTGGACTGGTCTTGTTTAACAGTCCTTTCCTGAAAAGGAATGTGCTTGGGTTGGATGACAGCAGAAAAATTGCCCCACTTCATTCCCCACCCCAAAACCAAATAATTTCAGAGTAATGAATGCTGCATATATGCATATTTGGAAATCCTGTGAAGAAAATCACACCTGAATATATGCATCTGCATATTGCCCGTAAAGTTGTGGCCTTTACACCCAGCTACATCTTAAGATTTGAAGCTAATCTCAAGAATTACACTACAGACCTTCCACAGGAAAGCAGGACATTCCATGGTTTGGCTTCGTATTTTCCTATAATCTTTTTAGTAGAGGCAAACACACCACTTTCCAATCTAATGTAATGATTTTATAACTTCTAAGGACCCTGTAGTCATGAGAAGTCTCCTACGGATTTCTTTCTCCTTAGTTTCAGTTTGCTTACTGGCGACCAAAAATAGATGTGATTAGTGTATGTTGTCCTCCCTATCTGGGGAGAATTTCCATCCATCCAGAAAAATGCAATATGTCTTGATGTTCTTTGCTTGACTGATCAAGTTAATGAAAAGAAATTGGGCCATCTGAAAATAAAATTTGATTTCTCTGGCTTGACCTGATTCAGGAAGGACTATATGACATTTTGGGATGCGAAAAAATAGAAGTCAGGGACTGGAAAAGCAACAAGGGAAGTGTTAGGAAACAACAGCGAAAGTCACCAAGCACAAATCAGGACAAAATAAAAGGTGTTCACCTCTTTTCTCTACTATTCCAGGCATTTAAAGGCTGAAGGTGAGTATCAAACAACTGATGCTTATTTCAATATTGAAATTTAGGAATAGTATGTAAAGAATGCATTGTGGTTATCTCAAGTGTTACTCCTCAACAAAACCAGGTCTGTAGAGATACTTTGTGTCACTATGACTGAATGCACCTCTATCGATCACCATTAAGTTCCTGGGAAATTTGACGCATTTAACTGTTATATCTAGACAGTTTTAGAGACTGTGAGAAGTCCATGAAGAGACTCAAACAGCGAAATAACTTTCCAAACAGGAAATTCTGTGTATGGACAAGACAAAAAAAAATCAGTGTCAATTTTTCCTAAGGTCCTGGCCAAGGAACAACAACTAACAACAATAACATCAAGAAAAAGAACAGCCAGAGATATTGATCTTAGAAGTTTCAGTGGAATTTCATATACCTCTTCAAAGTGTATCTTAAACTCCAGGATACCACAGGGAGAGAACTAAGTGCACACAAAGGAGTAAGCACACAAGTACAAAACTCCCTCTACGTCTCTGAAAAAAGTCTGGAAGGGAAGGCATCTTCTCTCCTGCCTACAGAGCAAGAGGTCCTCTCTGAATCTGGAGTCCTTTTGGACTTTGAAGCCGACTGATGCTTTCATATTTGTTTCATGGCAGTATCTTCTTATCCCAAACCAATGTTCTCTTCTCGTAATTTTTTCCCAGAAACATCAAGCTTAAAATAAATAGTGTGGATGCGTCATTTCTTATTTTCTGCCTTGCTGCCAGCATCTCTGCGTGATGGCACCTGCCACCCAGCCACCATGAACCCTGAAAATGAGACCTGAACACCTAATGCCTCTGGAAGGTGTAACTTCTGTGGTTTAGTGAGTTATGTACCCCAGCTGCTCAATCTGCTTTGAAATTTCCTGTACCACTGTACAGCGGTGGAATAGGACACAGGCCTGTATTTATAAATTGAAATCTTAATTTTCGCTGTCTATGAAGATCAATTTGCAATTTTGTATTAGTCTATGAACAAGGCTGGCTGAAGAGCAAATCCATCTCCTTTTGCCTCTCAGGCTGTGGAGACAGCACTCTCCTGCAAAGGGACAGAAAGAAGGACAGGAATTAAATGGCTGCACCTAAATCTGCTGGTGTCTTGACTTTGGCACTGACTGTAGAAGAGCTAATTCACACCTTTTCCGCACAGCTTCAGTTAATGTTTGTATCAGACAGGACTTCTTGATGGAAAACAGAAGTCTCCTCTTTGACGCACACAATTTTTTTTGACGAGAAAAGCTTATTTTCTAGCATATCGCCTACTCCTAGAAACACAAAACAAATGCCGGAAGGAACACACATCTTTCCTTTGGAGAAGTGACATTATCAGATCCCTGTCACAGCTATCTGGAAGGTGGTAAAATATTAACACCCCAGTACAAGTCATTCTGAATCAAATTAATTTATACTTTAAAGAGCTAGAAGATCTCTAGAGAGATTTCCCTTGACAGTTCGAATGGATTGAGCTGAGTAACAGCTGAACTGTGCAGGTCGATTAAAGTCTGATGAGGAAATATAAATAAGTAGCCATGGAACTGAGAATGGCATTTAGGTCAATTATTTTTCAGGGAGTGGTGGTAGAGTTTGTGGTGGCAAGACATTTAAGTAATGTATCACAGATTCAAAAAGCATTAATTTGAAACTTTGCTCCATCCTGGTGCCAAAGGCCACATCCCTGTCAACACAGCTGTAAATCCAAGTGCAGGCATTTGGACAATGCCAGCTTTTTGTTCTCTTGATGTGGCTGGAAACTGAAACCGATAAATCATATTAAACATATCTGTTCTGTAGGCTCACAGAGACTTTGAACTCACCATTCCTCTAATGTATTTCATAATGATACAGATTTCTGTAGTAAAAACAGCTTTAATGGAACAAAAGAAAGATCAGGATTCCTAACAGGGTTCCCTTTTGTCTGAATCTTTTCAGAGATTGAAGAGAAATTAAAATTCCTTGTGCCATTCTAAATCAAGAAACAATGCACAGGCTAACCTAACTTCTTCTAACAAAGAAGATTGTCTATGTTGTGAAAAAGCCAGGAGCAAGTATTTAGAAGTTTCATGTTCCTGTAGTTTTTTGAAGTATATTACTGAGGAACTATTTCTCAAAGCGCCTCCAACCCTCTTGAAAAGTTTTGCTGGTGGATGGGACAGGTTCAGACTCAAAGCAGCATTTCCTCTTACAAATCATAGGAGGCTAAGAGACAAGCACCCAGCACATTTTCTAGTAAAAAGAAGCAGATATAGAGACTATAAGAGTTTTAGTGGCCTGTTTAAAAATAAACCGAATTACAGAAGGAGCAAATATAAGCAAATCTGTAAGTCTGCATAGATGGAACAAGAAAGGCAGCGGAGTTGGAGGGTTCATTTTTCTGGAGAGTTACCTAGTATTTCTGGTTGTTCTGAGATGATAAGCAAACCAGACTTATGGAGGCATTACAGAAGTAGTCTGAGGTCTGAACCTGTTTGTCAGGTACTCTTCTGTGAGAGGAAACTTTGTCTTTACTGCAGCAGTCCCAGAAACTGACTTGATAAAATTAGAAGAATCCAGGCCCTCAAGTGATCTCACAAAATGATCTAGTTTCATCTCCTACTTTAAAGTCAACTATACCTAGTTCATTCCCAATAGGTATTTATTTAATCTGCCCTTAAAAAAATCTCAAATGAAGCAGATTATTAATAAAGAGTCTGTTCTATTATATAACTATCATTTTGGACAAAAAGCCTTCCTTAGTATCTAGGCTTTACTGCAGTTTAAGCATCATTTTTCTCCATCTCAAGTGAATGTGGTAAAAGGCAGATTACCATTATGTTTTTACAAATCTTTTACATACAGGGAAGATATGACAGGTTTTCTATATTTTGTACTTTCCTGGATTGAACTGGAGGAGTTAATAGTAACTGCAATGACAGACAAAACCAGTGAAGCAGTATAAAATCCACAGTGAGAAGTTTTTAAGTCTCATACATAGTAGTTATTTACAAGTATTTAAACCTCCACTTCTTTTCTGAACAGCATTTTGCACCAGCATTATAATAATGATTTAAACAAGAATAAATTAGTCTTTCCTTGGGGAGTAGCCTTTACCACAGTTCTGTGCTCTCTAGAACACAAAAGCGATGATAAAAGGTGCCAACTGATGTGGCGACAGTGCCTGAAAGCTTTCTTTGCAGAGCATCCAAACAGAAGCAATGACAGTATTTCTACACTCATCTCTCTAGATACTTCACTTGTGAAATAAAGCAGACATGCCACAAAGTGAATTAACAGCCACATTCTCATGAAGATATTAAGCGAAAAGTCATCATGTTTGTGCTAGTAAAAAAACCAATGAAATATTCCTCCAGTACTTATCTCCTAAACAGGACAATCATGCTCAGGGTTTGTCTACAAGCACAATGTAAACTCCTGTTCTGCAGCAAGGTATTTCACTGTGCAGAAAATTGTGATGCAGATCAAAGTATCTCTTCCTCCAAACACAAGCACATATTCAGCTGAAAAGCTGTCTTATGTTGTTCTTCTGTTACAGGCTGTTTCTTTCAAATGTATTTTAGATTGTGTGAAACACCCAGTACCTGTCCTTAAAATTCAATAAACCTAAAATTAAATAAGTACAAGCAGATTAAATAATGACAACATATAAGCTATCAATAATACAGACAGATAAATAATCATCCTGGCCAAGCCTGACAAATCTTGCATGATAACCACTGTAAAATGGATTTGGCTTAATCTCAGCATTCAGTAATAGAGTTTTAATACTGCCATTACAAGCCTCAACACAAACAAATGAGTTCATTTTTGCATTTAATATACATGACTCAAAGATCGCAACAGGATGAGATAGACAATACTTTACTTTTCTGTACTCCTTCCAAAAATTGTATTTACTCTTACCTTGAATCTATTAGTGAAGAGCTCCAGTTTTGGAAATAACTCTCTGTTGGTATACAGACTCTGAAGAGCTTTCAAGCACTTCAACCTCACTTCACCTTGCTAAATAAAACACACTAAGATTAGCTGATAGAATACCCTAATCAAATGCACATGAATATTAAATAATATCATATTGTAATTTGTTTAATGTACATTTAAAATTTTATGCAAATGAGTTTCCCAAGCCAATTTGCAATTCAGCCAAGAAACAAAAACCACATGCAGCTGCCTACAATGTTAAATTTTCACCCTATTTGCATGTATAAAGAATTAAATGTGCCATCATTTAAACATCTGTTACTGTTTCCCTGTCAAGTAACTCCACAAAAAGATAAAGAATGTAGCAAGTAAATACAAAATAAAGATGTTTTATCTCAAGGTGGTTGGTGAAGACTGTGTGGCTATTTATCTTTAGGGAAGAGACTACAGGTAACTTCTGCCTGATATCTGGCGTTTACAGTCAATGCACAAGTGTTCAGAATGACTGAGCACAGGCTGTGTGTAGCCCACTCAAGCAACTCAGCCGTCTCCAAGCATTGGCTTTCCTTTTTCCAGGGACAGAAGGAATACACACTGGATTTATTATTCTGAAATTTTTTAGAAGTTGAAGGATGCAAAAGGCCTGAGAGATCTTCCAGTGGGGAGCAGGCTGCTGCCACAAGAACAATGCATCTAAGCCACAGCCTGAGGAGCCCTCGGGAAGAAGAGCAGCTTGTGTCTGTCTGTCTTGAGTTTTTCTGGTGGCAGCAGTTCATTCCCAGCTGCTCTTTAGATGGGGATTCCTTTGATCTGGTGGGCTGTAGGCAGAAAATGCGGGCAACACAAGACGGTGCCTATGGATAAAGGTTTGCCATCAATAGGAACACCGATGATAAAGAGAAGGGCTGGATCCTCTGGGAACATGCACATCACCTGGCTGCTGCAAATGTACAACTTGGCTCAATTGCATAGTCTTGGCAGACTATGGGTTCTTGCTGAAAAATATCAGCAGATAGCAAAAAGGTTATAAACACAAATCTGCTCAGATATAATCTGTAGAGTTCACTGCAATGTGAACTTACTTTTATGAAAGTGAGTACACTACCAAGTCAAAGGCCTTAAGCTGCTCAAGAACTAATACGAATTACTGAACTTTATAAATAGAATTGCATACCCAGAGGGCTTCATTTCTGAGCCTGTCTATTCTATAATCAAGTCTGTATTTAAAAAACTGCTCAAGCTAAAAACTGAAAGAACATTCAGAGACTGACATAAAAACAAAAGCTAAAAATCCTTATTTTTAAGTTTCTTTCCTCCTTCGCACCGATTTAAAAAATTGAAATAGAGTATAAAAGAAGGACAGAAGTTGAAAGGAGGATTTTCAGAAGAACTTTTCCTTGAAGAACTATTGTTCCTGAGAAATCCTCTCCTTGTATCTGTGAGGAGTCTTTGAGCACTCATGCTCTCTTCTAGGGATCTTTTTGACTACCACTGTAGAGAAACCCAGTGAGATGAGTTATGTTTAAAGGATCTACCAGAAGATCTTTACAAGGTACAGAAAAGAACTTTCTTGAAGAAAAAATCTATATGGATGTGACCAACTACTAAATAAGCACAGAGAAATGCTGCTTGTCATTCTTCTTTTAATGGTACCTATATTGCAGTACCAGAAATAGTGTTTCCTGTGCTGTCTGGCATTCAGAAAGGCCAGGATCTCTGGAGTCATCACTAAGCATTAGAAGAAGATGTAAGCCTCTTAAGGCCTTAGCTTATTTAGCCACAGAAGATCAGTATCAGCTTTGGCAAGTGATGAATGCTACGGAGCAACAGTGAGGTAGCAGGTTCAGTTACAGCTCCACTGAAGACTGTCCCGCTTGTGAGCAGATGGCTTATTCAGCCCGTGCTGTAGTCCAAACATGCAAAACTCTAAATTGATTAGGTACAGAAAAAAAACCAGTGCCAGCAGCAACGAGACCCAAGACCTGTGCAGATAAGGTTTGGAGTCCCCAGGGAGTCCAAAGCCCTTCACCGAACACTGTGGATCAATGGTCCCAGAGTTAAGTTCAGGCCCAATACTGAGGGTCTCTGCAAGTCTTATGTGAGCAAATCAAGCAAGGTAGATAGGAAGCAAACCTGAGAACATTTGGTACTTACATGGCCTGCCAGGGGACTGAAGCCAGATGCTAACAAAAGCATACTGAACCAGGCTACTATCCCCTGGCGCTCACCAGATCTGAGGCAGAAGACAAGTGAGTGCAGGAGCAGTTGAGGAAGAGAGAAAGGTTGTGTTACTCCTGGTGCCTCTAGCTGAGAGCAGAGGCCCTGGAGACACAGAGGCAACCCCTGGAAATGACTGCCTTTCTTGCAGACAAATGATATGAGGAGGACCTTCTCTGATAATAAAAAGGTCTGTTTTTTTAACTGTTGGTCAAGGATGGAATTAATCTCTTGGGAAAAGAAAAAGCCCCTGCATGTCAGCTTGCTAATCCTATTAAGATGGTTTTAAAATAGAGTCAGCGGAGATTAGTAACAGGAATCCACAGGGAAGCATGAACAGCAATGACCCAGACAAGAGTCCAGAAGAAAAGGTGTACATGGATACACTGCACCAAGTTCAGAATAGAGGAGTAGAATGTCCCACAGATCATCAACATGCCAGACACGAGATGCTTCTTGAGTAACTATGAGATAAACACCCCAAACACTTTCTGGGGAAAGAAACTTCCCAGAAAGAAATTTCCTATCTAGCAAGGAGGTAAGTGGGTAAGAATGCTAAAGTTAGGGTAATTCCTAAGAAACTTATGCCAGGGTAAAAGCTGCAAACACAGGGATGCAGAGCAAGGACAGAAAGAGACTAACTTAACTGAGAGATGAGCATGTATAACTCATTAATTAATTGGGAGGTTGAGCACAAAAGGAACACAAAAAATAGAAGGAAGAGAAAATAGAAAATACTGGGCACAGTATGGAATAGACACAAGAGGTAATAAAGAAAACTTTCTGTAAGTATCTTTGTAGCACAACAAAGAAAAGTTAGTTTGCTTTGAAGGAAGAGGAAAAAAGTAATTGTCAACTTTTACACGCACAGTGGGTAGGAGAAGAAATAAAATAAAATTACAACACAGACTTTAGTTTATGTGAGGAAGAACTTTTTAGTGGTAAACATAGTTAGGCACTCAAACTCCTACAGAAGCTGTGGAAAAAATGACATTAGAGGGTTTTTTTAGAAAATATGACTGTCAATGAGAAACACTGGATATACAGTGAACTCTGCTTTAAGCAGGAAAAGAATAAGCAAAAATACTTCCCAGACTAGATTTTAGCCAGATTTTCTGCAATTCTGAGCTGAAGTTCATAGTAAGTATGAGTCAACCCAAGGAAGCAACTATTTACGACTATGCAATACCTTTAATTCTGTTAAAGAAAATGAGCATCTCTTTCCAGCTATTTTTGTGTAGTCACATCTATGCTTTACAGACAGAAGAACAGAGCTGAAAGGAAAGCCTTACCATTTTCTAAATAAATAATGGACCAAACATTTGCATTATCAGCATTCTAACAAATAAGACCTTCCATTCTCCTGAGTTTCATCTTTCAGAAAAATATACTTACTTGGGGTTTTGTCCAATTTATAATTGTGACACTTGATTATTGCTGAATCCTGAATTCATCCACACTGTCATCAGTTCTATGCATGCCTCCTTCTCCAGTCTAATTATTCCTGTAAATCCCCTTTTCTCAAAGTGTTTTTAGGTAATTATTTGTGTATTTTTATTATTTTTGTTATCTAAAATTCTTTTTCATTAATGTTAGAAATGCTTCACACTAATATTTCATTGCTAACGCTTTGTTTTATTTACAATTTGAAATTAGAACTTAAAACAAAAACATCAAGTGTTTATTAACACTGTTAAATGACAAACATTTCTCCTATTTTCCCTATTTTTGTTGAGATAATCCTCCAGTCACTCCTGAGCAAAAAATTGTTACCGCTGCTAATGAAGCGAAAATCTATACATACACCTTTCATGATAGCAGTGTGGGGTAGCCTACATTTGTCTGAGAGAGTCATGCTCTACACAAAACTCTCTTTAACATGGCAGCCCTGTGAAAAAGAATCCATTCTGATGGCAGCACACCATTTTCATATTTTTTAACATGCTAATCACAGGACTCAAACCAACACTCTGGAAATCTTCTGCAAGTCTCACAGTGATCTACAGCCTGGCATCGAGCCAGCTCAGATTCTTATTAATGTTCCATACAGTTGATAACTGCTGAGTGTTAGTTTGCCATCTCCCAATGAGAACCAGACTTCTCTTAACATTCAGGGATACCACAGCTCCAGAAATGGTAATTTAAGGTGCGCTGCTATGTGTCAGCTCACACACCAGACAAAGGCTTAGATCACACAGAGATGATGACTTTTTGAGTCCCCAGAAACAGTTTTAAGTATTTTTTTAAGTAGGTGGGTGGGTAGCCGGGTGGTCAAGAGCCGTTTGAGCAAAGTTGTTTCTCTCTTTTCACACTTCATGTTTCTTCTTTTGTATTCTTCCAATTACTTTTTTGGTGATTAAGGGTATTCTGCTCTTTTTTAAAATGTATCAGGTTTTAGTACTAGATAATTAATTTGCTCAGCTCTTTGCCCTACTATATTTCTGCAGACTGCACTGTTTGGTTTTTTTCTCTTGTGTAGCAAACTGACCTAAATTACTGAGTATCTTCAGTCCCACAGTTTATGGGATGACCGTGATACACCGTGTTGTATTTTGATGCTTTAGGGTGGTATACTTCGAGGTAATCTGCTGCCTAATGACAGAAATAGTTACACTGCCAGAGAGGAACAGATGAAGGTGTCCTGCAGCGCATTAGTAGCTACGGCAGGAGTATTCCTGGCAGGAGCAAGCAGTTGTGCTCTCCCTGCACAGGCCCACTCTATACCATTTATGAAGATACTATGTATCATCTGATGCATTTTTTTAAATTTTCTCAAGCTTTTCCAAAACCAAAAAATTAGGTACCAAGGAGATTTATATAAAGGTAAGCATTCGGAAGTTTGGAAAAACTACAATTTCAGTTTATATATAATCTTAATAAAAACAAGTTCCAGTTTTTCATCCTTTTAAGATAGGATGCCATCACTATGAAGTATTCAGATACTATCTGTTCCAGAGGACCCTGGGTTCATTCTTTTCACAGAAATAGACAATAAGTAAAGTAGAGGCATGCAAAGAAGGAAAAGGCATTTTCTTATGTGTTAGGAACTGGTTGAAGAACCATGACTGTCCGGGTATCTAGAGACACAACTACGGTCTCAGAACAGTTCCATGCATCAATGAGGCAGGTGAAAATTCAGACTGGACAGTCTGCTTTAACACTTATTATAGTTTGAGATATTTTTAATTTATGCTCCTAGACCCATGGGAATGAAAAAGATGCTTAAAAGGAGAGAAAGGCAGAACAAGAAATCCATATTCAAATGAGAAAGCAATCTATATAAAAACCAAAAATCCCCATAGGCATTCATCTGAAATCTGGGAAAGAGGCAGGATTAACATACAAAATATACACATTTCTGAAATTAGAGAACTAAACTTCTGCATCCTACCTCTGAAAGACTATACTGGAGCTACTACAAAGAAGGGTAAGAACTGTATCTTCCCAGTGGTTTAAATTTGTTTTCTGAAGTAGAATATGAAACTGCTCATGAATCTCTTGCAATGTGGCCTCCTCTCTTTTTTGTAGAAGCAAGCTTCCAGAGGAGTTAATCATTTTGAGGTGACTTCTATTCATATGAAATGGAAATACCTTATGACAAGTGCCTCAGCTTTAATTTTTTCAGTATATTAAGCACTGATCATAGCAAAAATTACCTCCTGACCAAAGCAAAGCAAAATCAAGAAACTTGGGTACTGACCGGAAGTTTTTCAGGTAGTTTTGGAGGGTTTGCATTTTTAATTGGCTCTTATTCCATCTTTTTTCAATATATTCTTCCCATTGCACTTCCTTCCTATGTTCTGTGCTTCCCCAAATGTCTCTTTCTCTCCGTTCTCTCCCTTTTCATCGTTTGACACATGGCTCACTTGCCTCTGATTCTTCCTCTATTCTACTTACTGCCTCTCTCTATATATTAAACACACACTATAAATTTTAAAATATCACCTACCACGTGTACCAGGATATTAAACAGACTGATTAGCTAGTGATTTAAAGACTGAGAACCTCAAGGCACTTCTGAGGCCTGCAACAATAAATATTACGAAGCAAGCAGAGGCAGGCGAGTAGCCTGATAGAATTCTTCTATGTCTGTTCCAGATGGAAAACCATTTTTTTTTACCATAGCACTGTAATTTAAAATTTGTCTGACATGAAAGAACATATTAATTTTAAAAAAGCTGACGTAAAAATATATGTTAAGGCTTCAGGCAAATGACTAGACCCTGGCCTGAGGTTAAGCTAACTGAAGAGGATGTGAGAAACTATTGGATATGACATGAGAAATTGTTGGATGTGACAGATAAACAGTGTGAGAAGCTGACACCAGTCACAGACAGTGCACTGAGGAATGGCTGGATTTCACACATGGTTAAAGGGAGTTATGTGAGAAATGGCTGGACTTCACAGATACTACAAGGGGACTGAGAACTGCGAAGTGCAACACTACTAGATTCTGCTCTCCCACTGGAAATGTTCTGCTGTGATTAGAGCGTGCTCCAAAAAATCCACTGCAATTATTCAAGGGATAGTTTTTTAAATTAAAAGATCTCCACCACACCTAAAATCCTAATCCTCCAGCCTGAGTAGACCTCCCCAAGATTTGGTAACTTGAAGCAATGATCTCCATCTCCTGAAGCATGCCTACTAGTGAGGCACACCAATGCTAAAAATGAGGTACACAGAGGGAGCAGCAGCTCTGCCTCTCAAAGCACGGCAATGGCCATGCCAGCCTGGCCATGTCCAAGCTTTAATGATAGGAAGTGTAGTATCCCTAGAGTAAACAGTGATCATGGCTGACTCTAGCAGTAAGCAGGATCTCCCCCCTAATCAAGTTTTGTAACAATGAGATGTAATGTAAAAGTTTGGGGAAAGTTTGTAAAGAAAAAGTTTGAGAACTACAGGTTTAGAGCAGAAAGACATCACATATCTAGTCTGTAAAGTACAGAGGATACTCTTAACAGGTAAATTGCTGGTCCAGATCAAGGTAGGATGCAGATCCTTTTCAGCTATAGGCAAAAGAACCAGTGGCAGCTAACTTCTTTCCTTAGGGAAAGCTAACATCTTTCTAACTGATTGTGTTCAGACTTCAGCAAAAGAGTGACTGAGTCATATCCTCTGTTAATATGCTGTCCGAAGTTATTGAAGAAATAATCTTTTTAAAGAATCAGCTGTTAACTATCGGTTATGCAAGTCCTCAGAATGAACTTGCAAACTCTCCCCCCTCCTCCAGCAGTGCCCCTAGAAAAAACAGAATAGTCTGAATCAGGATGCTGGAATTTAATAAGCGTTTCAACACTATAGGTAGGTCTCATCTGTTTTCTTTGGATAATGTTAGCAAAAGAGTTTAGAGTAGAACAAGTGCTTTTAGGGGTTTTGGTGTGAGTGGTAGCATGGATAGTCCCAGTTGCTGCCTGGTGTACAAAAACTCCATACAGTCAGAAGTGCAAAGTCCTGTTCTACAGTAGCGTTAGGAATGGGCTACTCTCACTGCAGGAACCGAGTGGTAATTAGGCCTGTTGCCACCCAGCAGAGACGTGTTGCGGATACCACCAGTACAAAGAACTGTGGTGAGATAAGACAGAACCTTTGGGTATAAATCTTTTTGCTTCCACCTGGTGTTTCAACAATTTCTTGAAGAAAAAGCTAAAGAGAACCTTGAAGAGATTCTTCAAGGGAACATGAGTTGATGAGAATTCCATTGGCTGTGGAGCCAGTGATGTTCTCTTCCCTCTAACTATTGGGCAATGTTAATGGCAAACACATCTGGAAACCTCTTTTCCATTCTGCTTCAGACACAAGGTTCTCAGGGGTGATCTGAGGAGACTTGTCTTTCTCTTGTAATCAGAAGAAAAGCACCATGGAAACATTTCTATTAAGATACTCTAACAGAGACTGAAAACACAACAAGCACATGAAGCAAGCATGCAGTCTGGGACTACTGTATCCTAATTTAAATAAATACTTTGAAATAAACTGGTTGAAAGGTAAGTAACAGGCAAGAAAGAAGAACAATCTCTTTACAAATCAAAGATGATATACTAGACAATCCTTGGGTAGTATAACACCAGCTACCTGCAGTACACTCTGCTACGTACAGTAATACACAGTACTTACCCTGTCATGTAGTGTCCAACCAACGTATTTTAAATAACTATCATTCAGGAAGGCATCACTGTACATTTTCATCCAGACACCAATTTCTTCAATACAGACAGCTCTAATCTCAGCAATAGCATCACTAATAAGGAAAAAAGAAAAGAAAAAGTATTTAACCAGATTACAAACACATACCATTTACTTCTCATTCCCATTGCCCTACCTATAATATTTTGCTTTTGCTTTTGATGAACTTCACTATGTAGGGCCGGCCATTGTTCTCACTGCTGTCTCACTGATTTTCTGTTCCTTTAGGTACTTGAACTCACTGATCTATCTAATAATTTCAAAATTTCTACATACAGATATATTTCTACATACAGATATATTTCCATTATCTCAAAAAATTCTTCCCCTAGTTTGCTTCTTAATCTATTACTGCATCTTTTATCTCTCTCTTTTCAAACAGAACTAAGAATCCAAGCTACAAACCTCCTCTAGACAACCATTTCTGAAACATCATCACTGACATTTGCTGAGCAGGCTTGACTCTCTCCAGCTAGACGTGTAGAACAATTGCAGGGTGGAAAAAGTTACTTGGTTTAACCAGAAGAGCCTGCCAGAGGGGCAAAATGGAATTTGGTATGTAAACAGATCTTGTTTCATGCACCACCTGAAAGGCCCCATAACAAAACCAAGGAGAATGTTTACATTTCAGCATTGGTTTCTTCCAGTTTTCTTGCTTTTTTTCTACGTTCTGACTGTGGCAAGTGATGCAAGAGGCAAAGATGTATCTCAGGCAGACTTATCAGCTGCTTATTGAGGAGGAGCAGCAGGAAACGTTTGGAGAGATCATCTAAAGGGACAGAAATTATTTCAATCTGATTGGCACTTTCCTGCCTGCCTGACACAGAGCATGGCATGTTTACTAATAATGAACGACAGCTAAACAACAGGAAAAGGGATTGGGGCCATCTGGCCCTTTAGTAATTTCATCTCCAAGACATCTGTTACTATGAGAACTCACTTGCGCCACTCCAGCTGGCACTGCTTCACAGTTACAGATTTCAGCTGTAATAAAAGAGGAAGATGAAGAGCCACTGTAAAGAAGGGAATGTCTGGTGCTTTACAAACACTGGCCTTGCTTATAATTGAGGCTCTTTTTCTGTATTTTTATTAAAAAATCTTTTTGGAAAAGTAATAAACATCAGTTTAATTCTAAAGCAGCACCAACAGAGCCCAAAAATGAAATCTAATTTATGGAGAGGGGGAAAAAAAAAGTAATTCCCAAGCTTCAAGCAAGAGAAGAACTGCAAAATAAGAGAAACTGTGTTTTTTCTAAAGCCTTCAATTTTACAAAATATAAATAATAGGCATTCTATCTTATGCTCAAGATACTTACTGCATAAGTTCATACACACAAAATAGTATAACAAAACCATGATTACTCCATACTGTAACTGCCTACACACTTCCAACTTCAGACTGGCCCAGCACCATTCTACTGTGTCTGATCTTCCAGATACCAAGGTGAAAACCACACGGTTTTCAACACGGCAATCAACTGCAGTATCTTACATGACTAGACGTGACACTTCTGCAGTCAAGCCTCTGTTTTTCTCATTGAGCTGCAAATGATAGGGAGAAAACTGTACTGATATAACAGCATAAAACAAGCATTTAAAGCTAATGTATAAATATTAGGGGGAAATATGTAGGAATGCCACTATCATTTTCTCTTTTTGCCTATATGAAACACACCAATTCTATCAACTTCCAAACAGAATCATTAAAACTGGTCTATCAAACTCCCTGAAGACTATAACCTCAAAACCAAGGTAACTGTCAATCCACAATGTAGACAAGCTGCATTACAGGCAGAGTAGAGCATTAAATAAGCTGTCCTACAAGCGATTTCTCAAACAGGTTTTAGATACTGTAAAGATGAGCGTGCTAAAATACTACATTCAAGAGTTTGCACTATAAAAACTGTATTCATTATGGGGAATGCAGCCACAGCGAAGACAAGTTTCAATTAAAAACTATGACTATATTCTGCTATCTATATGTCTAATTGCATATTACGTCACACTAAACTAGATTAGCAATTCTCTTTTATGGAATTATTTTTAAAACAAAATATAGGTGGAAGGGATCAGAATGCAAGACTTAAAGAACAATCTAAAAGACTAGTAAGTATGAATCAAGAAAAAAAACAAACAAGGGAGCCACATATGCAGCAACACAAAGTAGCCATGAAGACATTTCCGCTAGGGGATGACAGCCTGAGTCCTCACTTCCAAGTAGGTTATTTCACCACCTTATAAATTTACTAACTGTGAAGCATTTCGGAAGGATGTAATGGCAATCCCAAAAAGAATCCAAGTGTCAACAGCTATTTAATCATGCAGCACAGCTAGCCAAAAATCAGGGAAAATTATCTTTTCTGTAAGAATGCATTCAAGCTTCCCTCAGCGGACAGTGAAAAACTGATTCTAGATTCAAAAACTTCTCAGGGATCCCTACGCACTATGGAAAAATGCTCACTCTAAGCTGCTATTTATAATAAAAACAAACACACAAGAAAAAAGAAAAAGTAAAAAGCAAAATATAGCTATTTAACTAATTACAAGATTTAGTATAATAAAAATATAGTATCTTCGGTATACTTGAAAATGAGAAAGAATCATGCGTAAGGCATGTAAGACTAGCAGAGTCAAGTTGCTGGAGAGGCAGAAGAACTTGTGAGACACCAATTTCCCACTCCACCACCATCTTGCAGGTAACTGTATTACCACTAAGAATCATTCGTCTTTTTGCAGGAATCACTAACATAGATACCATGGCCACACGATGCTGTATCAAACACAATACAGCCAAAAAGCCTTTATACCTTTGCTATGCATATGATCAATTGCTTGTTATTAAACTAGAATTGTTTTCTGGTAATTTTTTACACACTTAAATATATTTTAGCTTTTTGTCATAGTCACTATGGATTGTTCAGGTTTTTTTAAAATATCCACTATTTGTGGATGACATTAATACTAATCATACCAGCACTGGAAGTACTTTTGGAATAATTCATGATAATTATTCATTATCGTAACTATAAATTAGTGACATACGTTTGTATTACTTGCCAAATGCTTCTAGAAAGGAACAGAATCTAGTTGAGCACAGAAACAAAAACTAATGCTGGATCTACAAATATTAGACAGAAAATATATTTAACCTTCTTTTCAGCAGAAACTGCAATGTAATGTCTATGTGATGAATGGGAAACAGCAAACTGTTCGCAGCAAAATTCACAACGGATGTCCCTACTCTCAGTAAAGTGGCTCCCCATGATGCAACTTCATAAAAAGGTTTGACAAAAGGGGATCAGGTCAGAAACTCACTCATTCCTTTTAAAATTCTGGATTCAAAAACCCACAAAACTCAGGACAAACAGGTTTTGCTAGTTGATTGTTTCAAAGCAACAATCATGAAAAGTGCCACTTTAGCACATATTTCATGTTAAATTGCTCTCAAGTATTTTGATTAAGGCTAAAAGTATTCAGGACCCTGAAACACAGCATCTACAATGGATAACTGGGATATGTCAGGTGGAGACCAGTGTGCTCGTCAGGGTCTCACTAGAGTGGTTGCCAGCTGCAACTTCTGGGTTCTCTCAGCCCGTTTGATCACAAACTCGTTTAGGTTAATCAAGACCAAAACTGGAAGCAATAAAAGCTAACCTGGCTGATCTGTACTGAAAGGGATGCTTAAATCCTTAAAGCATTACCAGTGTTGTGGGAAAACACCAAGGCAAAAGATGGAGATGACTAGCAGAGCAGTAACTGCTTCAAGACTTCTTGGAAGCTCCTAAAAGGATGCCTGACTACACTCTTATTGCATGTTTGCTTGCCTAATATAACCATTGGAGTTGTTGCTTCTCACATCTCACTCTTAAAACAGAGAGAACTACAGATAACCTTCAGAAGAACATGATATTACTCAACACAGCAACTGGATATTAACAGAAAAAAAAAAAGCTGTTTCAGTCAATTGGTTGGGATAAGAGTCAGTCTGTGAGAAAACTTTCTAACAAAGAGAGAAATGAGGGCCACTCACCTGCCTCTGGCGTTCTTTGAGATGGAATCTCAAACTCCCAGTCAAAGGACATGAAAATGTGCAGCTCTACAATAATGTACCATTACCAATTGAATTAAACTATGCCTATCTCTTGGGCTGCTCAACAGTTTCTAAACACTTTGAAGATGTAGTTACAAAGATAACTGGACAAAATGTCTGACTTCTTTTTATCTCTGGAGCTGAATTAGGAACCCATAAGGAAAGAAGGGTAAGAAAAACAAGTGTGCAGAGCCCACTTGCAAAATTCTGGTGAATGCTCACTGCATATCCCACTCCTGGGAGGGGTTCGTAAGCAGCACTTCCATTTCTAAGTAATTCTACACAGGGTTCTACTTACATAGCTATTTCAATAATGTGTTACTAAGCTGATTATCCAACATTCTTGAATTGTATTGTTTGAAGGCATGACTTGAATTTCAAGATGTTGCGCTACATAGCTCTAAACCAGTGTTTCTCAAAGACTTACCATACTAACACTTTTGCTTATATGAAGTATGATACATGGCTTTGTAGGAAAGGGAGCAGTGTGTGTGTTTTTAAACTTAATATTAAGGTCAAACCCTTATAAGTACCATGATCTAAGTTTTTGCCCTTGTCTTTTCTTATGCCTCTAAGCAACAAATGGTCTAGGTAATTTCTATCTGTTTTGTCAACATACATAAAAACGTAATGCATTTTCATGTCACCTAGGATGTGTGTTTCACCTCCTCAGGATAACATTTAGGGGGAGGGAAAAGGATTTTTCTATGGTTTTGTTCAGATTTTCATTTCCTTGGGCTGACTGGTTTTTGCTCCTCTCCGTCTCTTACCTGCTTCCTCACCAGACTTCCATCTAATGTCCCCTCTCCCTTTTTTTCATGCAACACTTGTTTCCTAGAGTGGAACTCACGTACAGCTTGCCACTGTCATTCTATTTCCTCAGTAGGAGGGTAAGGAGCACCTTGGAACGAGACAGAAGCATCTTCTCTGTAAAGATGCCATCTACATTTGGCAAATTTTACTTTAATTGTCAGTACTGCCAAAATAATAGCTCAGGACAGGCTCATTGCATTGCATAAATTCACAAAACCATCATGTCCACCAGTCTGAGGATCCCCATTCAGGTCTGCCAGAAGTTAAAAGTGTAATAGTTCTGTTTTGCTGGAGAAATACCTCTTCAAGCATTTAAAACAAGAAGATACTATGAGGTAGGACTCAAATATTCTCTGAATCTTACCCTCTGAAAGGGAAATGTGTCTGGACACACATTGCCAAGTCAAAAGCACAGAAGTAGAAAAACCAAAATTTTGACATCTCAGATAACTGTTGAGAATGATGAGCTTGAATACTTCTGATAAATACTTGTTACATCTGAGAAGCTATGTGGCAATAATCTCTGAATCAAGGTAATCTCTGATACACAGATGCAAGTGAAATGAAGAAATAGGCCTCTCCTCTTTTTTTTTTTTTTTAAATATACATGTAACCTGCAAGCAATTTTCAGCTTGTTTAACTTCAGACAAAAAAAAAGGTTATTTTTAAGATCCCTGACCTACCAGTATATAGAATCTTATTACTACATATCAAAGGCATTAGAGTCATACAAACACAAAAATGGTTACTTTGAGATTAGGACCTCTGAATGTCACCACATCCAAGCCCCTACACATGCCTTGTGAAACCAATTTTTGAGTATTTCCAAGGACAGATATTCCACAGCTTCTCTCGACAACCTGTTCAGGGTTTGATTACCTTCATGGCCCTGTAGTCCTATTTACCAAAGTCATCATCTCTGCTGGTTTTATATCACCAACATGAGCTCAGCAACTTGACTCTAACTGAATTTGCTCTTACATCTCCCCTTTGATGCTAACTGTCGGTTTTAGAGATGATAAAAAATAATCAATGGACAACCAAACATGCCAAAAGCAACACAAAAATAGTCAGAATAAGTGGTTCGGGGAAGAGATAAGGAAATACACAATGAGGTAGGTACAGCTCCTGCATGTTTATTAAGAATAGCTCAATTTTTTACCAAATCTGCTGTTAACACCAGACTAACATTACAGCTAGAAAATTGTTTAGCTTTTTCTGCAGATTCTTTTTTTTTTTAATGCGAGAAGCGAGCATTGGAATCTTGCAATAAATTGTAAGCCAGTCTACAGAAAGAAGATGTAACCTCACTGCCACACTAGCTTACTAGTAGGAAGACAGCTACATTCTGAATAAAAAAGGAGGCGGAGGGGGGCTTTTTGTTCAGATCAAGGACTTACTATTTAAGTTACAAAGGTCACTAAGCATGAATCACTGTGGCAGAGTCTGAATCATATTACAGAAAGGGATTTCTTCTCTGGGAATAATTAAAATAATGTTCTTTTGAAATCATTACCACTTGCGCATGGGCTAAGGACTGTAGATCATGTAAAATGATGTCAAGTTTATAAATCATTTGAACTATTTGATTAAGAAACATTATGGAAGCAGGTAATAGTTTGAAATCCTTTCCTTTCTTCTCCCCCACTGGCCCTGGTTTTCTCTCCAACTACCTGGTTTTAATAGACGTATTTTTTCCCCCTATTTGTTCTTGCACAGCTGTGCCTGCAGAAATTTGAGTCTATGTTCTCTGTTGTCTACAGATTACTCATATTCGGTATGCGTTGTAACAGACTCTTAGGAGATTCACAGAGGTTAAGGAAGCCCGAGAGATGATGACTCTTCACAAAAGTGGCTCTTGGGGGCGGACTTGGATGCAGTTACTTCTTCTGGCCCTCTCTAAACGGTGGCAGAAGTGGTGCCACCCACCCTGCTCAGAGCACATCACTACTTGACTGATTTCAGCAAATTCTTCAGTGGTTTAACAGTGTTAGCCTGGGCATCTTTTGTCAGGGCATGGATCAGCAGAGTTTATTTATTTGGCCTCTCCTTTGTTATAGAAATATCAGCAAAATCAGGCCTGTACTAATGGTGACAGGAGGCATAAAAAGAAATCTTTGTTACAAAAGCAGGATTTAAAAAGAAAGAAAAAAAAACCCCAAATGGCATGCAGATCATTCAACAATAGCGTCTTTTTTCCAACGCCACATAAAAGCATGAGCTACTAGGAAAATATTTTAAAGCAACTTCGTTTGATACAATACACTAAATCCTGAAAGGGCAAAAATGGAAACATTCTTTACATTTAATTTCTTCAGCATTATTACCTACATGCCATAAAAGCTGCTTTCATAACAAAATAGTGTGAGTGCTGTTCTGAGCTAATATCCTAATTTACCTGTTGACTCTGCATACCCATCCTTCTGTTGGCAAGTAGCTCAAGGCTTACTGACCATAAACTTTCAAGTATCATGCTTGGGTACTGAAGATACACACTCCAACTCCACTGTGTTGTTCACACTCACGTATTTCTTAGCACAAGCCCCTTCCAGGTTTCCTGCATGCTTTTCTCTGTAATAATCCCTCTGCCCAACTGAACTGTGGGTTCCTCTGCACCTTCTAACCCTCTTCTCATACACCCTTTCTTGTTTTCTGCCATTTGTCTAAAAGATTTCATCAATTACAAAGTTTTAAACCAGAATTTAAATCTGCAGGGTTAATTGCATAGTTTAGTATCCTCAAATTTTATCTGACTTCAGTAAGTCAATTAACATTTAAAGACCTGGTTGCACCAAGATGCTGCAGGTGCTCTGAAGTATGTTGTGATGCAAAACAACCCTAAATCTATTTTAAAAGACTACTGCTCTCTGACAAATCCTACACCAAAATAGCATGCACCAGTCCAAATCTACCGGTCTGTGCAATTCTAAAATACATAGAAGTGCATGCATGTGCACATTCATGCACGCACATGAATATATATATAACCTGCTGTGGTTTTGTATTCACAAGACATAGCATATTAACTATTAAAAAAACCCTTTGTGATGTGCTAGCACCACAATTACTTTTTAACAGTCTTGCTACAAACATCCAAAACAACTAACAAACAGAAAATACACGTTAACTGGAGTTAAGGCCTTTATGTAATTTAAGGAGGAAAAAGCCTAAAGTAAAGCTGTAGCTGTGGTGAAAGCATACATGGTGGAAACGTCAGAAATTTGCTGTTTACACCTAAGACATACAAAAGTAACTGCAGAGTAGACATACTCAGCAACCAAACTGCCCTCTTATGATACGCAGTGATCATGCGATGATTCTTAAGCTATGCCATGCTTGTGCTTCTACCTTGGACAACGTTTCTTTTCAAAACACAAAGATTCAAATTCTGTGTCCCCCACAACTCTTTAAAGTTGTTTTACTGAATGAAAATAGAATTGTGTGGATGGCTCTACTGTGTAATTAATAGGGGTTACACTTATATTTTCTTCCGTAACTTCAGTGTTTTTGATACTGCTTTTGTGGCATGTACAATGTTACATCAGAAGAAAAATCAACACAGAAACTGCCCCTGACATTATTTATGATTATACTTTGTTAGTAGTCTACTGTAGCATGCATTTTCTTACCGGTATCTATGAACAAATATACCCTTAAAAATAGAGTTCATCATATTTTCAATTTCATCTTGGTTTTCTTGTAGCTGCAAAAAACAAAACAAAAATAAATAAAAGATCGCTGCTTATTATAATTTGATATTCTACAATTTCTTATTGGGAAACATTAGAAAACCATGGAAGAGTGTTTAATTAAATGTATTAGTAGATTCACCATTTTCTACTTTTCCAGCACATGCCTATATTGTGTGCATATACATACATATATATATATACACATATATGCAATGCCTTAATGGAAGAAAGTTAACACTCACTACAAACAACAATTAATTTAGGTTCAAATTAGTCCTTTGAAGTGGTTATCACCTTTTTTTGGCTCCTGAAATTTAGACAAGTAGAGACTATATGTTCAGTAACGTCAGCAGTCCTGTATTCATAGTTAAACAGGTAGAACTGTGAGTGAATGACAGCTGCAGAAATGAAGCTGGTTATAGATCAGGAATCCCCTCTGAAAAATTCAATGTCCTATTTAAGGAAAGTACTTAAAGTTGTTCTCAATCTTAAGTATGGGTGCCAGCTGCTTTAACTTCAGTGCCCATGATAACTGAGTTTCTGAACCAAGAAGCTTTCCAGAATCAGAGCATGGGTGCTTGACACTGGAGCACACCTGACATCCAGGCCTGAGGCTGGAAAAAAAACCCCAACAAAACCAAAACCCTCAAAAAACCCCAACAAACCAAACCCAAACAAAAATGAAACCCAAATGAAAAAGGTGGTATGAGCAGATTTTTATAAATAAGAGTGTTTTTAAAAAATATTAATATTTCCTGTGTAATATGAGCGCATTTTGTAAGTACTATGGAAAGCTTACTTTGTGGCAATGAATATGTTAACACATCCTCAAGGAACATCCTGGAATCAACTGAAGTATTCTTGTACTGTCTGCTTTTGTACTAATCTAAATAAGTATGACTTAATTACACCAAAATGCAGCTTTGTTAAATAAGAGGATGCCAATTTTATACAATCAGCTGTTGGAGCAGAACTGCTACTACACTCAAAGCCATCATTCTTCCATCAAGGTGTTTCTTAATGCCAAAGCAGAATACCACAACACGTAATGTAAATTTTTGCACATTTTCAGTATGAAAACCACAACAGAGCCTTGCTAGTACAGAGTGCATATATGCATAAAATAATAAAACATGTATAATTATGGACAGGTATCTTTAACAGATAGAACATCTTAAAGCCAGAGGCAGAATTACTATCAGCTGTTTTGACTTTCTGCATAGCATGAGCCCATAAACATTTTCACCTAGGGTTTTATATTTTTCAAGCCATCTTTAGAAATATTTCTACAGTATCTTCCAGATAAGATCTAAAGTAGCTTGCAAAACACAGTAAATGAAGTCTCCCAGTTTCCTAAAATGTAAGGAGGCGCTGTCTCCATTTTGATAGGGGAAACCGAGGTATTGAGGGTTCTTGACTAAATTGTCAAACACCTGACGAAGAAATTATTTTCACAGAAAAAGGGATTATGTACAGAGGGAAAAGTTGGGTGCAGACCAGCTCTGCATATACCAATGGACTGGTACACAAAACAAGCATATTCAGACATGGTTTCTGGGAGAAGGACTATTTTCAGCCTCAGCTCAACCCAAATATACACTGACTAAATGCTTTTTCAAGAACACATAACCCAACAGGGAGAATGAATTGCTAATCATTTTTCAGTTGGCTGACTTCACAGGCTTCAGGCAGGCAAATGTCCACAGAAACATGGGGATAGAGACAACCCAGCACAGACTGTGGGGTAAAATGAAGATGGGAATGAACAAAGAAGCCTCAAGGAGGCCTGAAAAACTCACGAGGCCCTGAAACAGAAATGGCAATCTCCTGGAGAACTTTGGGTATGAATGATTAATATAAAAACACACCACAAAAGAGAGGTAGGAGAGACTGAACTTTATGAACCATGAGAAGGTTAAGATACTGAAGAAAAGTGTACTTTGACATTTCTTTGAATGAGAAGTTGAACAGCACCATACAAGACTAAGTGTCATAGATGAGGGGACAGCACGGATGGCTTCCTCCTTCTTTTTCTACAGGGAATTTACAGCTCTCTACAAACATGGTAAGTTAATCAGCTATATAACTGATACGGGGATCCAGAGCTGGTCTAGAAGGAGAATCAGAGATTCAGTAGGTCCATGTGAGATCCCTTTTACTTTTGTGTGCTAATGTTTAAATTATATAATTCTCAATTGTATCTTAAGTTTCAGTAATGAATTAACCACTCTTTGAAAAATATGAATCCTCTCAAAAACTTTAATTGCTTTTTACACTTTCAGCTTTTCTAGATCATGTACTTGAATTTGAGTGCTTAACTTCAGGCATCTTGAGAGAACATTTATGTCTTGGGATTCCTGCTCTTACCAATGCAAAAGTGATTTAACACACTCTATCCCCCGTCCCCCAAGTAAAAACAAGGGAAACATTCTCTTCTTGACTATGCAAGAATTTTGAGAAACTCCAAAAGCCATGTATGACAAATAGAAAACTTGAATTACTACTGGCAGCAACTAAAACACAACTTCCTCGATTTTGTGGCAGATACATAAATCTATCTATCATAAAATTACATACATCATCCAGTTTAGTTGAAAATCTCATTGACGAGAATAGACCTTCATGCACTGCTCTCACGTTAGGTATGTAGAAGATGACATAAGAATGAAACACTTCAGAGAGAGTGCTTCATCTCTTCTACTTCAGATTAATTTGCCACGCTTAGCTTGCGAACCGTCCCTATATAACTCCACGAAGATAAACACATACCCATGTATATGCCTACAAGAGTTTATTATGATGGCAGTATATTAAAAAAATCAACTAAGAAAGTGCCAGCACAGAATACTATTGTAAATTCAGCATATTTAAACACGGGAAATATACAGCATTATATTAGGAATCCTTACAATTATGCCATTGCCATAGAGACATTATGCCATCTAATCCTAACAAATCTCTTCTATACAGGGCCCTCTGCTATGCTTCACACCACGTATCTGAGGACATACTCAATCACCACCACTCCTCTCTGACTCACTCCTATGCAAAATTTTGATTAGTTTTAGGGAGTAGTGATATGAGAGATCCTGAACATACGTATCAAAAGTTAAGGTTTGCCAAATGCTCATTCTTCTTTCAGGGTTTCACAGCCTCGTGCTAGCCTGGGCATCAGTGCTTCAAAGTCTCCCCAGAGCAGTTATATACTGCATCTCCAAAAGACATTGAAAAGAACAGCTGAAGGAACGAGTAGAGAGGATGTCCATAGACACAGAGATACTAAACCAAGTTAAATCAGTGTAAGTAGTGACTTTGTCCTTCTCTGGAAATCCAAAGCAACAACCAACAAATGTGGAATAAAAACAGTGCTCCAGCTATTTTAACAAAGCAATTCTGCTTTTTAAATTCAATGTCAGCCTTAAAGCATTTGAATATTTAATTTAAGAAGTTTCTCTTGCAGGAGAGATTATTCTTGCTTCGTACCTTATTGCATGATTTTTAAGAATTATGAAAGCCAAATAAAATTGTGTTACGGATCATGGGGTAATATAAAAATCAAAATCAAAATACATAATTGTAATTATCCCCAGACAAAGACTACAAAGTCAAGCAATTTTGAGTCAAAGTTATACCTAAAAGAATCCAAGGTGCATACAGGTAAAGCACCCAGACATCCTTAATTTGCCACAGAGTAAAACAGTGATGGAGGAAATATTAAAAACTAATATATTAAAACCAATAAATTTAAATCTAAGTCATATATACTTCAATTTTTCAATCTTATGAGTTTTACATGGCATCTTTACAGATTATGGCTGTTTGGATATATACGTATTCATTTTCTACTTGTCATCTTTAAATTTCTTTTAAGTACAACTCTAAAACTGAATTTCCTGGGATATAATACTTTATTTAGGGATGATTACAGCAACCTTCTAATGGTTTTGCTCACCTAATGCCAGACTGGTACTTACTAAAAGCGACTTTAATGTCTCCCTAGCTTCTTCTCCCTGAGACCAGGTGCTATAGCCCCCACTCCAGTGTTTCTTGAAAGTAGCTACAAAAAGAAGTACTAATGAGACACTATGTAATAATTGCAGTGATCAAAGGGAGAAATAGGCAGTGCACTGAGGGACTACATGTGAGCCTCTCTTCAAAATCTTTTTGCATAATCAAAACAGTTACTACTTACAACTTGAGACTAATTTTCTTCCTGCCTGGTCATATACGCAAGCCTGAGAACAGAAATTACCCTGTGCGTGCAGAACAGCGCACAAACTCAACCAAACATGTTAATACAAGATTTTAAAATGTAGCCCAAGTAATATGCTTGAGATCAGACAAACACAACTGCAGAACTAATCTCTTGTTTCTCACTATGGTACTTGTCATAAACCACCCTGGACTTTCTGCTGGAGGGAATGCAAATGAACCAGGAAAAAAAATTCGTCTTTTCACTTGCCTCTTTTCTTTTCTGAAGCAGCAGCTCCAATCTTTCATTAGCTCTTTTGCCAATCATTTTGTTTCTCTCAGCTTCATACTGCCTCTGTGTATTATCCTGATGAATGCTCAGGTTTAAGGCAACATTCACAAGAGCAGTCATAAGCTTCATAGCTGCAAAGGCAGAAGACAGAATATGACTTTTAGTCAGAACTAAAAAATATTTCCTCAGCAGATCCATACTCACAGAAAATAACCAAAGTGACCCTGACACAAAGTTGTCTGGAAAGGCACTTCCCACCCAAGCAATACCCAGGTCACTTGGTTCATCTAAAGATCAAAAAATAGAGTGTATATATATACCGCATTGAGCTCCAGGCAACATTCTTTGCCATCTTCTCCAGAAAATTATGCAAGTTCTGAGTACCTAAGGTCAGTGAGGAAGCATGTGAATCTGCAGGATCAGTATACACCATGAAGCAAGCTACTGTGGAGTTACACCCATTTCTCTGCTGAAAAGTATCATTATAGATGCCTCCATACTAACGGTAACATTGCACCAGTAACTTCTGAGGATTACCCAATATACAAGAGACCACAGCACAGTTTCTCCGAAAGTAAGTCTGACATTGCTCTAAAGTCAAGTGTACAGCTGTATAAAAATACAATCAGAACTTTATGTACCCCTGTATATGCATTTTCACACATGCTAGAAATAATATTGTTCATTCCTGTTTTTCTGTATTAATTTATTTTTACAAAAACATTAATAAGGGTCTTTCCTATGTCCTGTGTGGTTACGTGGCATATCACATTTTATAATAATGAAAAAACAGCAAAATAATGTAACAAACTATCACATCCTCTCAGCTAAATATGCAGCACTGTCTTCAAGGTAGAAAGGTAACGATACAAATGGAGAAGTGAAGCTACTCGTATGGTAGCTCTGTCTTATCTTGCTATTGCTCAAAGCTGCTAACTCTAGAAGCACCACATGAACTTCTTGCCTTAAGTGTCTTGCTATAGTGAATAATTTCTCATTCAAATTGGCTAGCACAGAGGAAAACTGAAAACAAAGACCTCAAAACACTCCTTCAAGAATAAATGAAATTCTAAAAGCAGATTTTCATAGACTTTACCAAGACTGAGCTCCACGGCATCATGCTGACCTCTGCTCTGCAGGATAGCAACATAAGTAAATGTGCAAAAACTAGCTTGAAGGAAATATGCAGAACCAAAACAATGCTCTTCAGCTTGTTATAACAAACAAAGAAACAAATAAATAAATAAATGTCATGTATTATCACTGGAAAATGCTGGAGATCTTTGGCAGCTCATATTCCTAACATAAGCACTAGATACATGTATATGGAATGCAAGAAGCCAGCAGTGGCTTCAATAACTGAAGCTAGTCATGATGAACCTTGGCTTTAGCATTTGCTTGTCCTTGCTTGAAGTTTCTCGCTACATAATCCATCCCAAATGATGGCAACTATTTCTTCCACAGGTCTTGGGTAACGTCTCTAATGTATGGTGCTGTTTCCTGTCTTTTCAATCAAGCCTCCATACTTTGCAAACTGTTACTTCCAAACAGTCCCACACAAGGATAAGCCAATCAATATAAAAGACCAGAATGCCATACGTCACTCCGTAATCTCTCTCCTATGAAACAATCAACCACGATCTAAGCAAACAGCAAATCAAAATCACCTGAAATTGAAGACAGTATCAGCTGGAAAGAAATACAGTTTCCACCTCAGTTTAAATAACAGGCACAGATTTCCAGCAGGTTATCTGTGGCTGAAATAGTGTTCACCTTTAATCCTGAATTTGTGGAGGTAAACTCTAAACCTGGTAACTTATGCCTGAATTTTAGAAGTCAAACTCCAGTAAAATCTGGACTTGGTTTTTCAATATCGTTGGAAATCTGCCTCTTAGATTCATATCAAGAGAAGAAATTTTAAACAAACTCCAACTGAATTTGTTGGACAGTGGGTATTATACCTGGAAACCTGAACAAAACTGTAAGAGGCTGACTGTGGAAAGACTAAATCAGTAACAAATATTGGCAGTAGAAATATCAGATTATGACAAATGTCTCCCATAAAGGCTTCAAATATGTGCCATGATCTATGAACAACCTAGGGAGAAGAATCTTCCAATAAGGTGTATTTCAGCACATGAGATGAGCAGAAAGGTATCACCTGACATAACCAGCTTTAGACACCTGCATCCAAGCCTGCCTCTCCTAGTATTGCTTTGTAACTGAAGAAAAACAGTTACTTCTAGAGAGCAATTCATCCACCTTATGGGAGACATCTTATACAGGTCTGATGAAATACACTCTAGAAAAGTCTATTTTCTATCTAATGATAGACAGTGCTTTCCTTAGATGTAGGCAGCTGTGTTAAAAGGTGCCACATGGCTGGAGGTAGAAGACACCAAGACAACTGTGGCCCAGTGCTCCCAAACCTAATGCTTCTTCAAGAATGAAGGCACAGATTTTATCTTTCGGTGGACTGAAGTTCTTTGACAATACAATTTTCTTGACACTTATTTAGAATGAATATGTATTCTAAAATACAAAATTATGAAGACATTCTATATAACAAATGAACAACTAATAATAAAATACAAGACATAAGCATGCCACTTTTGATTCACAGGATTCACTGGAGGCCCCTGGGTATGACGGGAATCTCTGAGACTAAGTGCCTCAGCATACTCCTTTCCAAACAAAAAAGTGTATTTTCATTATAGTTGTATTGTATATGGTACTTTTATTTGATCAAACTTTCCAGAATTCTCAGTGCTGGTCAAATTCCACCTCAATCAAAATTAGGAGTAATTCTCAAAGTGGCTAAATAGTAGCAACTTCTTTGAAAAAAAACTCTTCTGTGCGCTAGCTTACTTACCAGCTAATGTACTGGTGTGCCTGAAAGCCCGGACCTGGGAATCTGACAAACCAGTCAGAAGAGAGATCACCGTGTCCATCATGTATTCGTCATAAATGATGCTATACTGACACTGTCGAATGAGCACTCCAATGAACTCGCAGAAGTTGGATCGAAACTTCTTCCACTGTGGCCCAGGCATGGTAAGTGGATAATCACCACTGTCCTAAAGAACAAGAACATGAAAATATGGAGTATTAAAAGTCTCCCCATTTAATTTATTTTAATGTTCTTGTAACCATCATGGTCTCAGTTTCTACAATAAACACTATCGTTTTCCTTCAAGCCAAGGGAAACTAACAAACAAACCCAACACATTATTCTTCAATAAACAAAGTAGCCTGTTGGCATGAAATCACTTTTACAAAGACTTTGTTTTAACTAATAACTGCAATATTAGTTCTGTATAGTCCAAAATATGCATCAAGACTCAATTCTTTTCCTTGGGTCCTGGGTTAGGAAGTAGGAGGAAAGGATGAGAAAGAAATATTTCAAAGTATTGAAGGTCAGAACCTAAAGAAAGGTTTGTGTGATTGAAGGTTTTTGTCATTCTCCATGCCCATTTCAACTCCATGTTAATATTCTATCAACTGGCTGCCCTTCCCCACAAATTTTGCTTTACTCAAGTTTACAGTTGAGGTATTATCAGAGAGTAAATACTGCCCTTTTTTATCTTATAAACTTATCCTTTTTCTAGTGGTAAATCCTGCCTTCTGATAGAAGTAATGGAAATTTTACTGCAGATTCTTATACCCCATACAGCTTCATACACCCCATCTGCCAAAGATTATTGCAAGACTGGAGCAGGCATGTGAACACTCAGTTCATTTAAGTTTAACTCCTCTCCAAGTCTGCTCTTACTATTCTCACTGCAAGTAATATTGCATTTCAGTGAGACTGCCCCCCCCAATTAGAAAATGCTTTTTTCTCCTTCAGTGAAAAAGACTAAATACAATCTCCCTGGTCACCTAACTCGTAAAACAATTCTAGATCATGCAAAACATCAAGGCAACTATGACCTGTCCTGAATCTCTCACCCAAGATAAGAAGTCAGTAGTATCAAAGTTAAATCCATTTGTACATATTTATTTTGTGCTTTTGTGAAAAACAAGCACTTCTATTCTCTTGGGGCTCATCTTATCACCTAGACTGAACCATGTAAAGCCACTAGCATAAGTGCAGAGGAGCTGAAATCAAGTAACCTTTTACCTGAACTGACATTCAGTTAGCAAAAACCTCTATCTATCAAATTTAACCACATCACACACATTTCAATCATACTAAAACAACAATTAAAATTGCAAAGACAAGTGCTCAAATGTTAGAAAAAGACAAAATTATAAGGCACTCAATGACCTTACTGTCTCATTCATTGCAATGCTAGATGACATTATCTTAACGAGCAATATTTTTACTTTGAATGTCCAATTTAAGAGAAATAGGAGCTTTAGTTAAAAAAACAATTCAGAGAGTTGTAAAGCTCTATATAAAAGTATCTCCAAGCATGCTCAATTGTTGCTGTAAGCCCTCAGAACTTCTGTAAATCAGACCTAAGCATTCTGCAGTAGAAAGCCAGATAAACACAGTCTAAAATATGTAGCAGTATTGTCAGCTGTGCCGTGTGTTTTGAAGTGTTCTTTGTCTGCTTATGCCTAGTGCTCTTGCTCATGAATTACAGCAAGGTACAGTGTCTTGCCATAGGAATACAAGCCCTACATTAGTCTCATATTTATTTAAATTTAGGACTAAAATGAAAATGCTGAAGCTTTCTCCTCAATGTTTTTCTGACAGTAAATCTGTATGAAGACCCCAGACTCCTCCTCTTCTCCCTGTTTACACTTTATTTTCACAAATAATCTCCAGACTAAGTCCCTGCCTGCACAGTACCTATTGGGAACTCTGTATGTGAACTTATGTACCTAATATATGCTTTCTAGAAGTATGTATATACAAGTTTTTTGAACAGATCCTCAGAATCTCTAGTGCTATGTGTAACTACTCACATTTGTATGATGTATCCTTAACCTACAATTATGTATTAAACAGTCCTTTTGAAAAGCGTATGAAAGCTGCACCAAGAACATTTCATTTGGCTGAAACGGGAAGAATCAATTTCCAATAAAGCCACCTTATTGGATCTTTTATTCTCGAATACCAATAAAAATGTGATACTTCACGGTCCAATGGTTAGAAAATGCAAACCAAATTAAGTTTTTGCTCACCTGCTAACCTAGCACAAGAATTATGAGGGAATTCACCTATACAATGCCTGTACTCATAAGCCAAGCACCCAAATAATGCAGCAGATGGGTGTCCATGGAATTCCCTGTCTCAAACTGAACTTCTGGCAGCAATGAACGAAGTTATTTCCATCGTTTAAGTCCTGCACAAGTGTTCCTACACTTATGATGAGGAAAATCAAATGCTTCAATCCCTGCCATAAATGCAGAAATTAGGACCAGCAGCCAGCTGATTACTGCAGCACTAACAGAACAATGCGATGATCTTGAAAAACTAAAGCAAGCAGCAAATCTGAACATCTTCAATGGAGATTAAGATATTTTCTGGGCAGGATACTGTGCTAATGAATAGATAATGCAAGGTTTTAACCTAGCTAATAGTACACTTGTACTTGCTTTTCCTCTTAGCTCTAGACTTGTAGAAACAATTTCTCATTTCACAAATATGACAACAGGTACTTTATACCACCTACACACACGTATCACTAAGGACTAGCCCCTTTCAACCCCAATCTGATACAACAAACATGGCATTTTAGGTACATTTTCATACAGAAAGGAAAATATGCTAACAAGGGGATGGTCTCCACCTGAAAATGGCAATCTGAAGATGACAATGAAGGTAGGTTGGGCTGATAGACTGCCCTAATTACTTTGACTACAGCACCACCAACTTTCTAATTCTCCTTCGCCCCCAACACAGTCTGACCATTACCTTCTCATGGACTGACATTGGATTTAGGGCATGAGAGGACAGCAGGGCAAGGGAAATGTTCTGGTGGCAACAGCCCTCGGCAACTGCTTTGCCTCAGGATGACATGGGCGGGGGATGAACACTGGGAGTCCTGGGGTACTGGGAGAGGTATACAGGTGAAACACCAACAGTGATATTTAGAATGAAGAACTGAGGGCTGTTCCCAGCTGCACGGAAAATGGTGGTGCTTTACTGCGAAAAAGGATGACCACTCAGCCCAGCCACTACTGTTGGTCTCCTTCTGGCTCCCTTTTGTTCATTGCTTACTACAGACTTAGAAAAAGTAAAGAAATCCTGTGGCAGGATGGGCTCAAGGAAGCAGTCTAGTCAGTCTGCACAGAGTCAGGGAGCATAGCCAATGGCACTGCTGAAAAGAAGGCAAGAAGCAGATCTGCTTGGGTTCTCTTCTCCTTTCTCCAGCAAGGGAGCAACCTTCCAGAAAGGTTAGGAAGGATCATGCAGTGGTGGACACTAAACAGAGGGTCAAAGAGAGTTCTAATGCTATGCCAATCGCAATTTTACAATCCGCTGAAGACCGAGAAAGATTTTGTTTGGTTTTTTTTTATTACATGTTTGAACAATAATGTAAGCTGCTCTTAATCTAAAAGCTTCCAAAATTGGCAGGTCTTTTTTGTGACTATGCCCTCCTGCACAGACCAATCTGAAATATTACGAGTAGCTGTATGAACACAGGTCACAGAACATACAATATGAAATAGGTCATATAACAATTATAAAATTACTGTGCTGTGATCATCTGATATATGAACATCGGCAGAAAACTGCACTAAATTCTAAAATGTTTTCCACTGCTAACAAGATATAAGTTTATTCCAGATTTCAAAGTATTCATTGGGTTTTGGTCTAAGGCTAACAATGTCACACTTTTATACTACTACCCACAAATTCTTTCACAAATCCATTCAAGTGTTAAGGCAGAAGCTAGAACAGAAACTTTCTGTTAGAACTGTAAAAGTTCTGAAGAGTTTTAGGTAATGGAGAAAGTAAAAATTCACTGGATTTATTAACTTTGGTTGGGTGATGTTTTAAAAAGCAGAATTAATTCAGCCAGAATGTAGCATGAATTGGTACCATCCTTCTGTCCATCATTGTACAAAATTTTATTTACTGTACCCTGTCCTACCTGTACACAAAGGCCTTGAGTGAATACCTGAGTACAGCAAAAGAAGCATCCACATGGACATAGTTAAGTACATAGTTAAACATTTTGTTGTTCAGAGCCGTGAACAAGATGGAAATCCTGCAGAAGTAAATCCTGCAAAAGAGCAGTGCTCATATTTATAGTTTTCTTGCTTAACTTCTTGAATCACAACCTTGACATTCCACTTAGAATTGGTCAGAAGAAGACACTGATGTCCTGCAGAAAATTCATGTTTCAGCATTTGTTTTCCTCAGTAAACAGAATGAACATTCAGAATATTTAAGTTTTTTTATACATGAAAAATCAAAGAAAATACAGTTCAAAAATGTCAAGGCTAAAAAGCATTCACCATTAGGAACATTTTTCTTTTGACAGAAGATATCCAATCTGAATTGTAATATACTTGTTTCAAACAAAATGCTCTTTTGGAAGAGTATTTCTTTCTGTAATACTGTGCCAAAACGGTAATTTTCATGTCAAGTTACTATTTGGTTTAAATTGCCATTTCAAATTAACAAAACATTAATTGGCACATGCCAAACAGAGCAGAATGCTGCAAAAGCCTGCAGTCCTGTCTCAGGAATCTGGAGTTCTTTGTTGCATGATGGCAGTTCCAAGAGGTGAATTCAGAATCCAGAATATCACCACCAGTTTCAGTGGGATGAAAAAACTTTCTGCAGTTCTTCTTACTGCCTCCTCTTATTAACCTCTCAGGTTAATACCAGGATACCGATAGACAACGATATTCCTAAAGCCATACAAAGATATCTGAGGGACTACACAAATCCAGTCCAGGGCTAGCATGGACCCAAGCTGGTTCTTGCAGAGTCAGACTTGGCCAGGCTCTCTTACATCACCAGATGTGAGCTTGCTCCATGGTTTTGTGTGATAGTACATTTATGCCCTTAAACGGACTACTTAACAAACTTTTCAGTACCAGTATTTCAGCATCCAAGGCCTATTCAATCCACAGCCCTGACTTCTCAAGATGAGTGACTATAACTAGCTTTTCAAATTATTTCCTTACTTTTTGGTTTTCCATTATTATTCTTTCCTAAAGCTCATGCTTGCTCGTTATTCCTCATCCAGTAGTTTAAATCGTTGCTTTGCTTCTCACTGCAGTTTCTCATACTGAGACACTGCTTATCCACTGGTTTCTTGCCCATCGCATTTTTATTTTAAAACAAAAGTATATTGTAATATATTTCATAATGTTTAAAGGACTACTTGCATACTATACCTCATCAAATTCTTCTGTCATTTTCCTTATGATTTCTGCATTTTGCATGTTCCTGAACATTTCAATTCTTACAGTACCTGTAATGTAATGAAGGAACAAAAGGAATTAACACAACTTATTTTATGTTAGTCAAAATATCAACGTTTTTCTGTTGCTAAACTTACAGCTCAGTAATACATTGAAAGAGCATATTTGCAATAACAATAAATGCAATAACAACAGGAACACATTGAACAAGACCGTCTCTTAAAGAAGTGGGGAAAAAAAAAACCCCACAACACCACAAAACTGTCCTGTAAAGTGCTGTCAGACTAGAAGTTAGTAAAATTTTCCATCTTTTTACCCTTTACAACTGAGAAGCATGATACAGAAGTGATAGCAGTGTAGGACTCATACCATGTCTGCAGGTACCGAGTGTTTTTAAATTTTTGTGCAAAATAAAATGAAGACCATCTTTCAGTTCCATGGCCACTACTCGGAATTCTCCATTTTTTATGTTGGGTCACCTGGATTACAGATGTACCACGATCTCTAGGCGGAGACACAGGAGTGGTTTTCAGACTGTTTAGCTCAGGACCAGCATGGCTTACTGACTTCAGCACAAGACTGTGGGCATGGAGCTAACAGCACCTGCAGACCAGAGCTAGCGCAATTGCAGCATGTGGTGTCCTTGTCAGCAAGTTTTTCCAAAACCAAAGGCTCCAAATGGCTCAGTCAAGATGTGAGCCAGCTCAGGAGCAAAAGCAGCAACTGTACCTATGCGATCCTTCACCTGGATTATGCCACTTCCCACTGTTACCTGAACAGCAAAGTTGATAGGATTAACTTTTCACTGTTAAATTGAACAAAGCTACCAAAATTGAAAATACAACAACACAACAGTAATAAATGAAAATTCTTGTGACATCATCCTAAATTCAATCCATATAAATGAATAAAATACTTTTACACATTATTGCCTTTGCAACTAGATATTATCTCAATATTCAACCATGTAACACAACATAGAGAACGTCTTTTTTGCTATTGCATGATCTTCTTTTTGCCATTTCACAATCTTCTTTTGTTAATGGAGGAAATGCAGAAAACTTAAGCAAACCACAGCGCTACAAAACCCATGCCAACATCATTAACGTTACAAAGAGTAACTTTTTTTTTTTTTTCCAAGAAGTTCAATTGGATTAATGATCCACTGCATGGCACCAAAAATTCAAACTGTTATAGTAGAAGCTTAAGAGCTAATAGTATTAGTACCCTTGTACAAAAGGAAAATAAAGATAAGTAAAGCATACTAAATATTATGGGAGAGTTTTAATTCCGATATTTTATTCCTTGAAAATCAAGCATTAGAAACACACGCATTTCAAAATATGCAAGCACAGTTATAGCACACCAATCCCAAGTTTCTTAGTAGGAGTACCGTTTTGCAATGCAACTTAATACTGATATCTTGAACTGGTTGTACTTCATAAAATAGTACTTACTTGTTACCTATTTCATACTGGATAACACTGTCAACCCCAAGTTCTAACAATGGTGACTGAAGTTTGTGCATGGTAATTTCCGTATTTTTAATAAACAATTAGTTATGCAATATATTAATATAAAACAAGAAACCCAAGAGAATACTACCATACGACAGCTGAAGACCTGTTCTGTCAGCTTTGAAATCATCCCTAAACACAGCTGTATTTTAATGTTTCCCCCAATATTGAAAGTTCTGTTTTGAATAAGTGAAACAGTTTCAGTATGTCTCAGTGTATTGAACAGTGGACAGTTATTCCTAGAAATCCACCTCAGCTGCATTAATACCTCTTTCTCTCACTGACATGCTGTCATCTGCACTTCTTTTCATTGGTAATATAACCCTCATTAAATAAGTAACCTATTGACCTTTGTTATTCTATTTTTTTACAGCTCTAATTCTAGTTTTATTCAGTTTTATTTATGACTTTTGCTAATTATCTTAAATGGCTTCCATAGAACCATGTTCCATTGTCAGAAAAAGTAAAAATACCATAACTAAAATTCCTTGTTAATGCACTTCACAAAATTCAGATCTCCCTTCAACTTTGTATAATTCTGTTTTGGTTCTCTATGTCTTTTCTCCCTGAGGATACGCAATACAATTATACTGTGGTCACTATTACTTACTGGCTCAGATATTGTTACTTCTTAAATGACCTCCTGCGTATTACTTCAGTCAAGTATAATTTTTTCCTTGAACAATTTCTCTCAAGGAATCCAATTTCAGGAGGTGACTGCTTAAAGCACTGCTTCTTTAACTCAGCAACTTCGCAGATGCAGTAACTGTGCTCAGATGAAGCTGACGGCTTGTACCAGATGCACACACCCTCCATGTTACTATCAGACAACAAATTGTACATACGGTACCACAGACACATGGAAGCTGGCCACTAAATTGGCCAAGGGAATTGCAGGACTATAGACCACAGGCAGTTTCCCTTGAATCATGCGAAGACTTTTTACCTTCCATGACTAGAACTAAGACAGCATCATCTATCTCCTGGGAACTTTAGGATTTCTACTGATCACTGTGTACATGTGTTACAGATAAGTCTGATGTAGATTCTACACACATCTTCCAAACAAGCAATGGTCCAGCTCTTTGGGTGCATGAGGCAGGGGCATACACAGGATGAAACAAAACTCTTGACATCTCCTAGGGATGCCAGGGTGGACTAGAGCTCAACACTGCCAAGGAAGTGTCAGCAAGTATTAAGAGGAGTGAAGATGAACAGCACTTATCAACTCGCTGTCATGTCTCATTCCTTCCTCCACTTTTTATGACAAAGTTTACTGGAAGTCATGTCAAGCAAAATGAGCATTTCTACTTGCATGGCAGTGTAATAGGTTTGGCCTGACTGCTTTTCCTACCACCAGCTTTCCCCACCTGACCAAAACACAGTCCTGTCTGTTTTTCTGGGAAGCTGATTTAACACTGTAAATATGCTACAAAGACTCTGCTCACAACACATTTCACGGTGTCATCGCAACATTTGAATACTACAATGTAGTCAACACCGTTCAAATTTGTAGTTTTTATTAGTGAAAAGCTAACTCTCTCATTTTCAAGTGAATCCTTAAAATATAATGCATTTTCTATAAACTACAATTGAAGGTGTGGAGTGCATTCCTACAATCTCTGCCTTAATCATGTTGCTAGTAGTCTATTATCCTTTTCTAAACGAAGTTTGGCCTCTATCATGAAGCTCTCACTCTGTATTTAGTAAAGAGGATTTAAATTGTCTTAGCCCATTAACAAATGGAGAAGCCTATTCTACTTCAGTACCAAGTTCTCAGTTCAAACTTATTCACATCCATTGTGTTTTTATTAAAAAGACTTCTCGCTGACATGTAAGTATATTTCCTTAATGACAAAATTCCCGTTTAACATTCAGCTAAAGACAGATACCAATTTAGTTGGTCAATAATTAATCCTGTCACCCAACCTGGCTTGTAAAAGTGAGAAGAAAAAAAACCCATACAGAGGACACAACATTATTTCAACTAGAGAAAAGAAAGACTAAAAGGGTCTATACAGAATTGGATTAATACACTTAAAAAAACCCCACAACCAAAAAACCTGTGTACAAAACAAGATATAACATTTCCAGGAGGAAGAACATACCACAGACTCAGTGGCTTCAAAACATGTATTTATAGTGAGAAGACTAACCAGTTATCATAGTAAGCCCTGGAAAAGAAAAGTAACAACAGAAAATTTCCAAGAGCTTTGTAAGATGTGTAAGTGCTCAAGTTTGAACAACAACCAACCTTTGATACTGGGAGTTAAAGAGGGTACTCTTCGGATGCAGATTGTCCCATGAATACCTTTCCTCCTCTGAAACAGAAGGTACCAACCACTGCTGGAAATCAGGGAACGCCATCATACCAAATACTACACTCCAATGTCCACTTGCATACAGCAATTCTGGTATTTCTATAGGAAAGGGGTGCTTATGTGACAGAAACAAGGCCACTGCAGCAGTGGTATTCTAGCTATAATAGCCCACAGCCATTTAAACACTACTATTAAAAACAAATTACTCGCTAGTAAATGGACTCTTGAAATCTAAACTACTGAGAGTTGGTAATAAATTATATACTATGTAGTATACTAACTATACTATATAGTCAGTTTTAATCTCTGGTACCTTCACTCTGTCACTTCCGTGACAGAGCCCATTTTATCCCTTCTCTTTTGGACCACCTACCCAAACTGAGTAAACTACAAGAAAAGTGGTGGGAAAATTGCAGCTTAAGACTAAAGTCAATGGGTATAAAGTAAGCCCAGAGACTCCTGCCAAAGAAGGATTAATCGCGGGACCTTAAATCCGTGGTGACTGATTAGTATCTCTCAACCACACAAACTGGAAAAACAGTAACCAGAAGAAAGATTTATAAAGGCATCAAGATGAAGACACTAGAAGATTTGCAGTGGAAAGTATCATATGAAAAAGGCAATGTACTCTCTTGCATTAGCTGCAAGTCGATAGCTGGGATCAGAGTACTTGGGAAGTAACCTTGACTGTTGAAATTGTCAAGAGAGAGCAAGTTTAATAAAGACTTTGCAAAGATGGATGATGATTACAGAATGGCTGGACGGGCAATATTTCTTTCCCTTGATACCATTCAATGTGCATTTCCTGTACCTTTCTCCCCACTTACCATTTAGATCATAAGAAATAATCCACTTCTACAATGTCCATAAGTGCAATTTTTAATCGTCTCAGAAGTGTTAGTGACAAATCTCTGTATGAAAGATGACAAACAAAAACTGAAGTCAAACCATAAAGAGCACGTTATTTCTCACTGCTCAACTTGGGTCATGGTACACTTCTGTAACACTTCATTTACTGCTCCCAGAAGAGAGCTGCCTGACACTAACCAGAAATTACTTGCGCCAGTTAAAAATTTTATTTTTCTGTGCCTTGCTCACGATCACATAGGAACACTGAAGTAGATCTTACCTCATTGGAATCAATAGGCTTTAATCATTATCTAAATGGAAGCAGCATTGGGACAGCTGAAGCACATCCAAATAGATGTTGAG